GGGGGGGGGGGGGGGGGGGGGGGGGGGGGGGGGGGGGGGGGGGGGGGGGGGGGGGGGGGGGGGCACTCACGTAGTGTTGATTTGCGTTCAGCCGCGTTGTGACCGATTACCACGCATCGTCCCCTTGCAACGGGGAGCGCACCTTTCCTACTCCTTTTCCATCTGCTTAAGACAGTAGTCCAGTCGAGAGTAGACGGGAGATTTAGCTGCAGGAGTTACGGTACTGCATCGCAGTCGCCAACACGGAGCCACTGTGTTCTGTGTTTTCCAGAAGAGAACTCGCGACACCAGACTGACCACACCGCTTTGATGTGCCATTTACCGAGCGCCAACCCCGAAACATCAGCCACGGCTTCTATCTAGCAAACCCTTGACCTTGATATCTACAAGTACATATTTTGCAGGAACCGAGTATGGAACACTGACAGCCTCGGCGGCCGCAGGTGACCAACCGCGCACAACTACGGACTCCTCAAAAGAAAGTATGAATAGGTTGGGCGTGACATTCTTCGGAGGGAATGCTCTAACTTCTTCAATACTACGCGAGGTCTGCAACATTTACCACATTGCGCGATAACACAGAGTCAGCGCAAGCAAGTGCTTCCCATTCAACGCGTGCACTTGACGAAAGGAGGTGAGCTTTGTCTTACACAACACGCCGCAAGGGACAAGGAACGAGTTTAGGCACGCAATGCGGGGGGCGTCCATTCATGTCTTGCGGTAGGTATAAAGCGCCTGCAAAAGGACCGAAAGCGACGATAATTAATAAACACATCTACCAAATAAATACAGAGTGCTAGAACTGCCGTGGCTGCTCACATAGCAGCCCTCCCCGTCGCCGACCATGAGCGCCCACGTGTGCACATCCCGCTTGGACATCATCTCGTTCACCCTCAGCAGGAAGTCGAGGAGAAGGTGGGGGGTGAACAGCTCGTGCCGCTCGATCAACCCGGTTCTTATCAACTGAGCCGCAAAAAAAAAGATTGAGACAAGCAAGCGTCCGGATTTTTATATACAGAGGGTGAGAGGCAATCGCGAGGGTGAGGCCGGTGAGTCTGTGCCGGAAAATAACGCTTTTTACCCACCAACTGGCGTTGGCGTCGGGGTTTGAGGGTTGGCCTACGCGTTTTACGGCGTACATACGGCGGAAAGTCAATGGGGAAGCACGGACATGCGGAGCGAAACCTTCCGGCAGCTGGGTCACGCAGCGCCGTACCAGCCAGGTTCAGCGACAAAAGCAGGTTTCAGTACGGTTGAACCGATAGGATCAGCAGGTCGCGATCTAGAGACCGGCCCTTGGGTATTTTCGTTGCTCTACGGGGATGAAGAACCAGGTGACGCCGCCTATCAGCCAGCGAGGGCCTCCATCGGTGTCCCCTACTTAACCGATTGTCGCGAAAGTCGACCGCGAGGAACAAGGGAGACGCGCTAGCACTATTGCGCTAGACATATCCCTGTCGAGGACACCAACTCGAACCACAATCTTCGCAGCGACAAAACAGCAGGCGCTAACCCCCCCCCCCCCCCCCCNACAAAACAGCAGGCGCTAACCCCCCCCCCCCTCCCCCAAGCAAACAAGGAAGCCAATGGCGAGCGAAGCGAGCCAACCAAACGCGAATCAAACACACCAAACCAAAACCCAGAACACGGTGCGTTTTCCCTCACGTTCTGACGGAAGACAATGGCGTTCAGGCTCGGCGGGCGGACCCTCTTGCCCCCAAACATGGGCCGGAATTGCTGGGCGCGGTCGTGGTGGAGAAGGCGGGCCGTGGCCAAAGGCCATCGACGTTCATCGTCACGAAAAGAGGGAGAAACATCGTAACGAACACGCAAAAAACAAGGGATAATTTTAAAAGTTGTCACGATTCGCCCTCAGTACATCAAAGACTAAAAAACTCGAGACATGCGAACGGCGACCGACGCTCAGATGCCGAACAAACACGACGCCGACTGGAACCGATCAGTCGCCATAGCAGAGGCAGTCTGCCGCCGTCTTGGAACAGTGTAAAACGCCACCGTTCACAAACGAACCCCTTAAAACAACTAACGAATGTCCCTCTTCCGGCCAGGGTTGCACCGCACCTCTTGATTCCCCCATGTGCGTGAAAGTCTCGTTATTGGAAACTACGAGCTATTCTACAGACAGGATGACGGAATCGAGTTTGTTTATTGCATTGGTCCTCCGGGGAACGCAGACCATTGCAGCCCACATGAGTGTGCCGCACTCGCCCTAGAGCAGCACCCGCCCCCGTCCTCGCCGCCACAGATTTACTGTTGTGCAGTAACACTTCGGCGGTTGAGCACTAAATAGGATCAGTTAGGATAGGATAGGCTCAGCAAAGGCAACCAAAAACCAAGGAGCCAACGCAACCAAAACCAAGGAAACGAGACAATAACGTTTTCGGCCTCTTCGTGTGCGACTCCCGTTCGTTTCGCGAAAAGGAACTTCCGAGCATGGGATAACCCAAGGTTGAGTATCCTGCGCGATGTTGTATTTAGTGTTTACCATTGTGTTGGCAGGGCGGGGCTCCGCAATCATCAGCGTGTCTGTTGGGACCCCCTTACCTTGTACAAGTGCAGGACAACCTCCTCGGCGCACTTGTACACCTCTTGCGGCCCTGGTATGTCTAGATCGATTTGAACCGGCTCCGCCCTGGCCGGGACAAAAACAAGAAGAAAATGAAGAGTGACAAAACGCGGAACGCACAAAACACTGGTTGGCAAACGATTTTGCCATCAGCACGGTTCGGTGTGTTCCAAAAGGAAGAGGGTGGACAATGTGTTGCAACGTGGGGATGGCAGACACGAGGGACATGCACAAACAATTGGAGTAAGTCACGCACACATGTGCGCCCCCAAGCTTGCTACTGTGTCACGGCCATAATTTTTCCGTTATGCGTTGTGCGTTGAGCGAGGAGCCGCGAACGTTGTGAAGCGGGTGGTTTTCCCCTCCTCATGCTGCTGTTGCACACCCATGAACAGCACATTGCCAGGACAGCAGTTTTCCACTCCTCACTGGTGTTTGTCCTAGACTACCTCTCATGCCTACGCCTACCATCATGGCTTGTTGCTCACGCGAGCGTACCAAGGTTCCCCCGTGGCATCGATCACAATCAACCAAGGGCCACTCTGGTTTCTATTGCCACGCGCCAAGCCACTGACTACACCAGCAGTTGTTCTTGCCTTTCGTGAAAACTCTCGGGCGTGCTTGATTGCCAAAGAGCCCAAACAAAGTCCAACAAATTGTAGTGAACCACTTGCGCATTTTGATCCGCATACTGTAGCGAGCAGGCGTATTTGGCAAGGTGCGTTTCTACAACAACAACTACTACTAAAATACTGAACTCAAGTGTGTTCCGCTTAAACCGCCGCTGCCCTCTTCACTCCTACTCCCCCTCAAAAACACTTGTCTCACAGCACACCTGAGGCGTTGAGGAAATGCCATGCCGACTGCTGTGTACGATTAACCAGAGGTGAGAGAAACGACTGCTCCAACGCCAGACAGGAGCGCCACTCCTCTGCCACGATCCTCCCATTCACTGCTAGAGGTGCCTAAAAATCATTGCGGCAGAAGGGTACAGTAGGACTCTCTCCTCTCTCGCCTGTTGATTTCCGCGTACAGCTCTTCGATGTCTCTCTCGTCCTTGGCATCGAACACCTCTATCACCACGTTCCGCTCCGACTGGTCCCACATCTTCGCGTCTGCCAGCATCTTCAACGCCCGCAGGCGGTGCTGCCCGTCGACGACCCCCAAGACGTACGATTGATTTCTCTTCGTCAGCTTCCCGTGGCAGCGGCGGCGGCAGCGACGGCAGACAAAAAGGGAACAGTTGTACATGGGGTAGATCGACACTAAGCGACAGTAACGTAAATGTACCGGGGGGTGACGTGCCTGGGATGGTGTTGCGAACGCCGTAGGTCCATTAGGCTTCTTGGTAAGGTGTTCATACAACGTGGTACTCCATGGCAACAGGACGGAAGCTCGCTATCCCGTGCCAGAAACGACCGTGGGCCTTACCTTGTGCCACGACGACAACCACGTCGTTCCAACAACGAGATCGATCTGGACAAAGACATGAAACAATGGACACAAGACACTAGCACCACCCGCACAACCGCACGGAAAACCAGCGGAAGGACAGCTTGGGCCGCCGTCCCCAGCGATGCGTTGATGCGACTCACCGGCAAGAGCGGCCGTCGGTAGAGAGTGATCACTCCAGGCATGCCCTTCGCCACCTGCCTCGCAAATAAGGGGCAAAATGAGCACACGCACAACGCCTTTTAGAAGAATTTTCTGTTTCAACCCCACTGGTACTGGTCAGCCAGAGATTTACGCGACGATGCTCGTTTCGAGGCGCACCAACATCCGATCGAGCGAAAAGGGTCTGAACGAAGCGAAATCAGGCACATCCACCTGTTTGTGCTGTAGGCGCGGGGCGACTGCATCAAAAACGTCAAAGGCTTGTTCCGACGACAGCATTGCCCAGCAGGAGGAGTAAACAATACGAGAGACTAACAACAAGCAACGGGCTGCCCGCACCGTTAACCAGCAGGTTCTACACGCGGCAAAAAACACAGCAGAAACGTGCGAGAGAAGGACTGCCACGCACGTACGCAGAAAGCAAACGAGCTAAGAAAATGCGTCCCCGAGCACAGCAATCGAACGTTGTTGTGCAGCACAGGCAAACATCAAGCCAACCAACAAACACATATACAGCCAAACAAACACAATCAAGCAGGCATTCATCTGTGCACAACAAATCACATGGCATCCCAACATACCAGATTCTCGTCCTTCTCCTCTTTGCCGTCCTCCGTCACCCGCCTGACCTCGAGCTTCTGCGCCTCGATCGCCTTGCCCTCGAAGATCTCGGCCGCGTGCACCGGCCGCAGAGTCCGCGCCTCCTCCCACACCCGCACCTTCTCCAGGGCTTCCAAGGACGTCACGTACACGCGCTTGTACTTGAGGTCGGCCACCAAGAATCCCAGCACAGGGTGCCCTTCCTGCAGCTGCTGCAGCTGCTGCTGTTGAGTCTTCTTGCGCTGACCTCTTCTTCTTGTAGCCTGGAGATGGGTTGGCGGCCGGGGAGGGGGAGGACGTGGTGTCTGGGGAATGTCATAGCAGGTAAGATCGGGGTTGATGACGGCCATCGCGGTGTGTGCACTCGAAAAAAAAATAGGACATGACAGTTCCGTCTCTCTCTCAGCAGGCGAAGGAGCTGGCCTTCAACAAAGGGGTTGGCGGTACGCAGATGCAGGAGGTTCGCTGGGACAGCTGCACGACATGAAAACGATGAGCCAATCTTCAGAAACACAGCGCGTACATTGCCGAGCGATCAACACCGATGGTCCGTGCCATTGAACGAAAGACGTGGGAAACAAGCCATCGCATAGACGGACCAGTGCCGATCGCTACGAAGGAAGTTGTAGTGAATCATGATAAACACTAGACGAAGTGACCAAAAATGCCTGTGACACAAGTAGACCGCCGGAGGGGGAGAAATACGGGAAACGTCGGTGTGTAGTGTGTGAAGCTTGCTTCCACGGATTGAGACGTCTAGCGTCAAGCGCAGATCATTACACTCTGAACACTGTTTGAAACACGCAGTGGGCCATCCGCCCAGTGTCATTGCCAACCATTTGTCAACACAGTCAGTCAGTCTCCCCTCGATCCTGTCGATCAAAAACAGCTTTGCAAGCTTGCAGGTGCCACGCGTAGATGCTGCCAAGGCCAAATGCTGCCACAAGAGCTAGTTTGCCACCACAACGATACGTTCACACGACGATGATTCAGACGCCGCCAAGGAACTTGCCTTGCCCCCGCCGCCCGTGATCTTCGCTTCCGCGCCCGCCGCCGCCCCGCCCTTCTCGCCGTCGGCGCCGCTTCCCGCCAGGAAAGGCTTGGGAACGACGGGGGCATCCGGGTCCTGCCAGGTGAAAGGAGGCGTTTCTGCCTCCTTCCACGGGAAGGGCGACTCGTCGGGGACGCCGCCCTCGTCTTCCTCGCCGCCCGAGTCGGCCTCGCTACCGCTACCGCTACCGCTATCGCTATCCCGTGGAACGCCCCCCCCGTCTTCGATTCTTCGGGCTACGCCCGCACGTCGCGCGCGCTCGAACGACGCCTTCCTCTCCTCGGGGACTCTCGGGTCCGTTCCTTCCTCCGCCGCATCTGCTGCGGCACGTTTTCTCTCTGCATCTGTGGGTCCAGCATTCGGCGAGCGGGCGCTTTCGCTTTGGCCGCCACGTCGCTTGCGCGGGGCTTTGGCCTTCGGGGCCTTGTTTCCTGCCGGTGGCTCTGCTGCGGCCTCGGTTGCTGCTGTTCCTACTTCTTCCCCGTCTGCTGCTTCTACCGCTTGAGCGGCGGCTGCCGGAGAGGGGTCCCTCTTGCCTTGGTTGGCACGTCTTTTGCGCGGGGTTTTGGCCTTTGGGGCCCTCTTTAACGGTGCTCCTGAGGCCTCGGGTGATGGGGCTGGTGTTCCTGCTTCCCCATCCGCTTCCGCCACCGCTTGAGCGGCTTCTGTCGGAGAGGGGTTTCTCTCGCCTTTCCCACCGCGTCTGTTGCGCGGTATTCTGGGCTTCGTGTTCCTCTTCGCCGGTGGTTCTTTCACCGCTGCCGGTGCCCCTGCCTCCTTAGTCTTCGCCACCGTTTCTGCCCCGCGGCTAGCCCCGAAAAGCGTGCTCTCAGACTCGCTCTCAGTGTCGCTGCCGCTGTCGCCGCTGCTGTAGTTATATTCGTCATCGCCATCGTGATCGCTGTCGGGCCCTTGTCCAGCTGAGAAACCACGCCTATCTAGCCGGAGAGCGGGCCCACCAGCCTGCAAGGCTCGGCTGCGCAGCGCAGACGAAGCGGCACCTGGTCGCAGCGAGAGACAGTAGTACTCGCCCCGACTCAGCGTCGATGCGTGCCGTCGCCAGTTGACAGTCCCGCCGGAGGTCTCCGACAGAAATGATTGATGCTGCTCGTTCCCCAGCCTAAGCACTAGATTGTGCTTCGTCCCACAGCAACTAGTGATACTTGCCTGTACCTTTCCCGCCGCTTCTTCTCCAGACGCTACCCCTCCGCCTCTAGCTGGTGATGCTGTCGCCGCTGCACCTGCGAGACACCGATGGATCGCCGCATGTTGTTGACCTTTCCTGCTGGTTTGTGGTTGACCTCGGTCTACTACTATCGCATTGCAACGCGTTGCAGCGGGTGGCCTGGCCAGGGAGCAGCGTCCCCGTCGGATGACGCTGGAGGAGAACATCACCTCTTCACGAGTTGCTCTCGCTTGTCTGTTGCGTTGACTCTGTCTGCTAGAGAGATCATCAGCAGGCAGGGTTCAGGGCCTGGCCCAGGGGCACGCAGACTGCAGGGTTTTTGAGGTATGAGAAGCTTTTCGATATCACTCACGTACGTCTTTTTTGCCGTTGACTCTTTTTACCTCTCTCCCGCCAGGTTGGGACGTTTTGGCGGGAAAGTCTCTCTCTCCACTTTCTATCTTCGCTCCAACTTCGTCCGTGTGAAGCCTTTTCTATACCGTGAGAGACCACAAGCCAGAGAAAGAGAGAGAGAGAGAGAGAGAGAGAGAGAGAGAGAGAGAGAGAGAGAGTGGCTTGCAGATTCCATCACGATCTGCGTCCGGTATTGACAAAGGTTTGAGACAGGCGTTGCGAGAGGGCGGAGGGAAAGCACGCACGATAACCAACTACAACACTTACAACATGAATCATCTGGAGATGATGTTCGCACCCCGCCGCGGGCCTTCCACCCCGAAGCGCAGGCGAGTAGCGCAGCCTGCCTACGCCACCCCTAGCATGGGCTCTGCGGGCAAGATGAAGGGCAGCTCTAGGTTGTCGACGGCGTCGAGGAAGCAGGGCTCAGTGCCCTCACCGTCTGTCCTTCTCGCAGGCATCGGCGGCAGCAACCTGTTTCCAGGTGAATGTGACTATCGTTGGTGCATTTGGTGCCTGGTGACAGACAGATACACCGCCGTCCGGCGATGTCGTATAGGCACGTAGGCACGTAGGCACTACAGCAGTGGGTGAGGATGTCCTGCTACTTTTCCACGCTTTTCCGTGTGGGTGCAGTACGGGCATATAGTTTGTGGGGGCTTGTTGTGTGCCAGCTGTGTGGGTCAAAGTGTCATCTGTGAACTCCGAAGTTGTTTTGTTTTTTGTTTTTCTCCCATCATCGGACTCTGTCTTCTGCCCCTATGGCCCCTACCAGCTAGACGACCCAACCGGGGTCACATAGGAGGGGGGGGTTGGACCCCTCCTGTGAATCCTGCCTGAGATATTTTTATCGCGAGAAGGGTACAGCAATCCCTTCCCTCGCGACTTAAGTCGATCAAGTTTACTAACAACGAACTTTGCAGCCCGTCGCTTCCAACATACCGCTGATTAGCGCACCGACTGCTGTACACCGCAGTCTGCTTTACCGTAGGTGAAGCAAGATACCACACCCTCTGAGCTCAACTTCTCCTCGACGAGGGGGATACCAAATCAAATGACTATTTCTTCGGAAAGATGTCGACGAGATGGCGCCAACTCCGCTTGTGTTGTATTTAGGATCAATCTGTGAGTGAGCGAGCTTTGAAAATCGGTGGTCAGGGGTGTGTGGCGTCATACGTACGTCCTGTCACCTACGGTACTGCCGAAGTCCACCGCGCGACAAGGGTACTGTAGTCTTGTTGCCGAGCCTGTCTACCTGTAGGGGTGATGCAGTTATCACGACGGCGCCAGGATCCTGTCGTACACAGAAGTACTGCTGTAGTCTTCTGTGCAATTGCTACGAACTGCAGCACGTTGCCGGGGGGACAATCTTTGATGCTATAGACTAGAGAAAGAGTTGGTCCTTATTATTCATGTTGATCTCAGTACATGCACTGCTGCAGCGCGAGAATCTTCACGAGACCACCAAGTTTCAAATACACCTACCAACACCTACGGACATACACATGGCTGAGTTGCACTTGTCACTGCGTAGGTTGCACGTACCGCCTACCTATCGCGCACAACGACACATGGGGCAGACGACGACAACAACAATTAACCGCAGCAGTGTATGATACACTTTGTCACACATAGCGCCAAACCAACACAACACATACAGTAATGTTTGACAAGCCGTACATATCCGTATGGGCTACAGTATAGTAGAATGATTGGTGGATGCCGCTCCCATACGGGTTGGCCAACACAGGTCAAGTGGCGTAAACTACTCTACAATCCATTGCTCCTGTCGTTCATCGGTGCTGGCTCACCACGACGGGGATACCATATTTCCTCTCTCCATCATCCCCCCCCCCCCCCCCCCCCCCCCCCCCCCCCCCCCCCCCCCCCCCCCCCCCCCCCCCCCCCCCCCCCCCCCCCCCCCCCCCCNCCCGAGGCGGGCGGCCTCGTCCGCGCGCGGCGAGCCCGCAACACCGACCACGACGCGAAAGCTCTCCCGCACACCGGCGTCGTCGAGCGCAAACATCATCGACAGCAACATGGGCGGCAGCGGCAGCAGCAGCAGCAACAGTGCGAGCAACATCGAGGTCAGCCAACCGACCACTCGAGATCCCATATGGCGCCACCCGCTGTCGTGTTGTGCAGGGTGCACGCAGCAACCAAGGTTGCTGGTCGAGAGAGGGGGGGTAGGATGACATGCTGTGGTCGCACGGCATGCCTGGCCCAAGCCTTTGGGTGAATCTGCAGCGAGTGCTGTGCTGCACATTCGTCTATGTGCGAAACTGTATTCAATCAGGATAATTCGGCGCATGGTGCTTGGGTAGGCGGAAGCGACATGTTCCGGTCTTGTCAACCAAGGTTAAGCTTGATATCCTGGTTCGGTACGTGTGATGGTGTTCCGCTGACAACGCCGCACGCACCACCAATCGAAACTACGCTACGGTGGACAGCGATTGGTTGGGAGAACAACCCCGCGTCTGATGCAACACGCACTCTCTCTCTCTCTCTCTCTCTCTCTCTCTCTCTCTCTCTCNTCTCTCTCTCTCTCTCTCTCTCTCTCTCTCTCTCTCTCTCTCTCTCTGTCTGTCTGTCTGTCTGTCTCTGTCTGTCTGTCTCTCTCTCTCTGTCTCTGTCTCTCTCGCTCTCTTGTATCTGTCTCTGTCTCTGACTCTCTCTCTCTCTGTCCCTCTGTCTCTCTCTGTCTCTCTCTCTCTCGCTTTCTCTCTACTCCCCTTTCTCGCTATCCCGGTCTTGAGCAGGGCGACCGCTTCATCCCCAACCGACCGTCGATGAACTTCGACCTCTGCAACCACATGCTGCTCAGCAGCGACAAGTCCGAGAACGAGCCGCAGCCCGGTTCGGACGCCCCCGCCCCCCTCCGCCGAGAGTTCCAGCAAGCTCTGAGGAACACCCTCCTCAGCCCCATGTCCGGAGGACCTTCCAAGGGCGACCGCGGTAGGAGCGGGAGCAGCGTGGGGGGATCCCCGCGAGTGCTTTCGTTCACGGAGCGCCCACCGCTGCCGCAAGATCGGTACACGAACGTCCTCAAGGTGTGTGGAGGCGTCAGTTCTTGTTGAGGCTGTCATTCTTTTTTTGGGGGGGTGGGGTTAGCGATAAGGACTTGGCAATGCAATTCACCGGGTGTCATCCCGACCATGGTACGTAGATATTTTTTCCGAGTGAAATATGTCGCCGCTTATGGGGGAGTTGCGCGCTATCGTGATTGCCGGACCGCGCTTGTCGTGGTGTGTGTTTGTTGAGTGAATTCTAGCGAAGGAGGGACAGAGTCGCAGGCGAAGGGCGCGTCGGTTACTTGTTCCTGCAAGGCTTTCGGTGTCTGCATTTGCAAGTTGGAAAACTCTTACCTGTGTTGCCGTGCCATCAACAAGAGAGAGGGCTGGGCTTCACTTCCTGGCCCCGTTCAGTTGCGTCCCTGGAAGATTCCCAGTGCCGAGAGAGGATTGTTGGTTCCGATAATGCTTACGTTTCTACCGAACCCTCTCCTGCACTCGGCAAATTGACATCGTTCTAAGATCTTTCTCTTTTCTGCCGCTGTGCTTTCCCCCGCCAGGTGCTGCACACCATGAGCAACACGTCCATCGCCCGCGCGTCCTTGGGCAGGAGCATCCCCTCCGCACCGCTGCGCATCCTCGACGCGCCCGACCTCGTGGACGACTACTACCTCAACCTCATCTCGTGGGGACACAACAACGTGAGCAAATAACAAGATCTACACATTTGTTGCGTAAGCCTCACTTGATTGGTCGAGAATCACGCGGCCTGGTGTCACCTTCATTCACACGAACGTCCGCCTAGTCGCTATGATCGCGTGTTGTAGGCGACGCCCCTGGTGGAAGGAGTCAACCGTCTTCACCAAAATCATGCCGCTGTTAGTTGCTGAGTTCCGGCATGGCTTTCCACGTGGTGCTCAAGCGAACGTGCCGGGTATGTTTGTGTTTACTTCGTACGCGCAGACCAGCTATTTGGGATCAGGCGTCGTGTGCTAGTCAGTCTTGTTGTTCATCACAACCAACAAACGTCGCCTCTCTCTCTCTCTCCCTCTCTCTCTCCCTCTCCCTCTCTCTCTCCCTCTCTTTCTCTCTCCGTGTGTGTATCTGCCCACACCCAACAAATGTTTTTTCCCTCTCTATGTTCTGCTGTTTCTTGTGCGCAAACGCAAAACTACCCGAACGCAGGTGCTAGCCGTTGCTCTTGGGCAGGCTGTCTACCTCTGGAACGCGGCCACGGGATCGATCGAGCACCTCCTCACACTCCCCGACCCGCACGACTTCGTCACGAGGTGCAGTATACTACTGTTGTACCTTTTATTGGGTCGACGTCGGGGTAGTTTCTTTTCGGTGGCGATAGTGATGTTTGTCCGTGCCAAGCGAGCGGCGTAGTGTCGTTGCTGTGTGATCGGGTGCTGCTGACGGTGGTCGTGCTTGACGAGAGGGAAAGCGCGAACGAATTGACGCTTGAAACTCGTAAGAATGCTTGAGTTTACATGCCCGACAGCGCTCGTTGTTGACTCTCTGCTTTCGTCGTTCATGTGGATTGATGAACGAACGTTGACATTTTCTTCCTCTGTTTTTTTGTAACGATAGCCATGCCGCATGCCCTTGTGTTTCATCGCGATGTTTTGGATCGGCCAAACGACGTCACGTATGGGTACAAAACACAACAAACAGCGTGGCGTGGATGGGCAGAGACGGCGGAGACTTTCTGGGCGTGGGCACCAACCACAGCGCCGTCCAGCTGTGGGATGCGTCCAAGCTCAGACAGGTCAGTCAATCAGGCAGTCTCTTGTGTACAAAGCGACTTCGGCATGTAGCTGGTGCGAATGCCTATGTTTTTTCTTTCATTGCTTTTTTCCTCTTGGCCGTGCATCCCAGCGCCTCAGCAAGCTCAAATCGAGACTTTTATTGTGCGTCTCCCATGGTTTTTGGTGTCATCTTATTCGTTCCGGCCTCCGTCGGATCTGACACGCTTACATTTGCTACTTGGTTCTCGCTCGTTGCCGTGGATAGTGTGAGGAGGCGCAGGAAAAATCTTTCTTCCCCCCCCCCCCCTCTTGGTTGACCAATCAGATTCGAGATTCGAACGACGTTGGCCTCTCTTTCTGTTGACCACGACTCCCTTCCTATAACATCGCATCAGCGTTGTTGCCAGGTTCATTGATCCATTAGAATCGAGCCATGCCTACACTCATTCGATCACGACGAGTCGCTTCTTTTTCTTTTTCTTGTTCTAGGTCGTCTGGCGTTTTTTTTTTTTTTCCCGTCTTGCTTCAATGATGTTTCTTGTCGTTGCCTTCCTTTTTTTTACCGTTATATCCCCCCTTGCTAAATATTTTTCTTGCTTTATTTTATTTTCGTCGTGACGCTATTATTGTTCTCGTTCTCAGGTTCGGACAATGTCGGGTCACTCGGCCCGCGTGGGCACCCTCGCCTGGAAGCGACACGTCCTCAGCTCGGGCTCCAGGGACAGCAGCATCATCCAGCATGACGTCAGGATGCCCAACCACAAGATGGCTACCTTCATGGGACATGAGCAGGAGGTAAGCTGGGCATCCAATACCCGTGTTATGCGGTGTTGGTGTGTAGAGGTATACTGTCGTTAGTGTCGTTCGCGTGTGCGGTGTGGTGGTCGGTGCGTCTTTCGTGTTATGCGCAGCTGTTGAGCTGAGTCAAGATCGAGAGTGCTGTCGGGCGAGCGACGCTTCGTTTCCAATAATGTTGGGAGGGTATTTGCCAAAGGCAGGTTACCTTTGACCCACAATCTTCTTGCTCACGTCAATTCCAAATTGACAAATGCATCAAAACCGGCATCAGGTGTGCGGACTGAAGTGGTCGCCGGACGGCAACACTCTCGCATCGGGGGGCAACGAGAACTTCCTCTGCCTGTGGGATGCCAGCATGAGCGGGAGGGGGGGAGCAGGAGGCAGCGGGGGTGGCGGTAGCAGCGGCGGCCGTTCGTCCCTTGTCCACAGGCCTCGAAGGACCCTAGTGCAGCACCAGGCGGCGGTGAAGGCTTTGGCGTGGTGTCCGTCCCAGAGGCACTTGTTGGCGTCTGGCGGGGGCACGGCTGACCGGACTATCAAGGTGTGTGGGGGGTGTGTGTGTTTTCGTCCTATTTATTATGGCGACAGTCCCCCCATTTTTCGTGATGAGACGTGTACTACACTTTTCAGCGTATGTAGAGTACTACACTTTTCAGTGTATTTTTTCGTACAACTACAACCATCCAGGGTCACACAGGG